TGGTATATGTACTTGCTTCGTTAAACAATTTTTTATTAGTGGAACCCTTTTAAAAGTTTCTTAAATGAGAGTTGGACATAGACCAAGTGTTTAAGGTGAATCAATATAAATCTTTTGTGTTATTCTTATTGATTAGACATTGTTTGCAATAATTTCAGCACTTTGCCTATTGGATACCTACTCAATATGTTGAGATTGAGCCATTAAATCATCACAAAATTTAAACATCTTTTATGCAGTGAATTAGGACCAGCTCCTTCATGACATAAAAATGCACAATTCTTTCCATCATTGATTTTTTCCAATTCCTAAATCCCACTTTAGCAAAAGAATTTCTTCCATCATTTTGATCACCATGATTATTATTGAAGACGTAGCAAGGTAAACAAAATGCAGCACCCATGTGGGTTGAACATTCTAACCAACTAGGAAACTTTTTCAACCAAGAAGGTTGAAAGTGTCGACGATGATTTCCAATATTAGAAGGTGGAAACATTATATTGGTAGGTTGATATGGTTCAGCTATTATATAAGCTCTACGAACCTTGTCACGTTGGTCAAGAGGATATTGTCAAATAGAAATACGTTTTCTAGGATCTTTCTCGAATGAAGAGATATCAATTTCATTTTCTTCTACTCTGGGAACTTTAGATTGAGGTTGTTCAATGTCTACTATTTGTGTGGTTGATGGAAAAGTTGGGGACTTACTAGCTTGAGGAGTTTCAATAGCTTTTCTTTTAAAATATGCATCAATTGTAGATGATTTTCCCATAATAATGATTTTGTCCTCACCCTATATATCATTGATAAAAATAAAAAGAATAAGCCAATCATTTATGAATTGAAGGTTAAGGTGGAAATATTGATAAGACAAGAATGGAAATTTTTACTTGTAGGTTGTAGTATATTAACTAAAAAGCTGTCGGTATTTGTGCAATTTACAAATCACTTGAAAGATGAAAGGTTGCAACTTGCAAATCCCTTGGAATTGTGAGAGACACAACGGCTTCTTAACAAAGGAATTGTATTTGGCTTCTCAAGCGAGTTTTGACATTTGCTTTAGTATATATATATAATTTATATTTTTTTAAAGAGAAGGGGCCAGGGCCCATGCTGTATATCCGTCTCTGTACATAACATAACAGGTGCACACCATAGCATTTCCATTTGACACTATGGTGTTTCAAAGTGTTAGAACCTCAAAGAAGGCACCTTGATTTTGGTCACACCTAGCACAGCATACTTGCAGTCTTAGAGACTCAAAGATGGTGGTTTAATCCAACGTCAACTAGAGATGTGGATAAATAAAGTTAAAGTTTGAAGATCCTTCACCTTTCAACTTAGTCTTATGAGATTGAGTAAAATCCTAAGCCCAAATTTTAAGATGGTCCCACATGTTATCTTAGATCTATTTCCATCCATCTCCACGTGCTAGATCACTAGCCCTGGGCACAAGGGAAAGTGTTTGAAAGCTAACTAAATTGTGGTTATCCCTTTGCCTTGATTGAGGATTTTTTGGGGGTTGTCTTAATTGTGGCATCAAGGATGATGGTTTAGTCCTACATCAACTTGAGAGATGTGACTTACATAAAGATTACAAAGCTTGGGCGGTTTTCGTCTTACATTTTGGTTTTGAAGGATTGAATCAGATCCTATGGCCAAATACCAAGACAGTGATAGAGATATCTCCATTCAATATGTTAAAGCTTGGAGAACCATAAGGGTCCAAAGCCGGGTTTTTATCATCCTTTGATATAATGAAGGTTAATTACAGTAAAGGGACTTTGATTTTCTTCCTTCTTCTTTTCAGTAGATTTGGGCAATGTGACAAAAACTACTAAAATATGTTATCTACTTCCCTCCTAATAATACATCATTTTCGAATCCAGAAAAAATTTGACCCCAGTTGACAAAGCTGATGTAGTCCTTGTATGTATACTTGTCAGTAGAACAGCAGTACCTTGTCTCCGGATCAATGTTACAACTGTATAAAAGCAATGGAAATTGTTCTAGAGAGTGAGGGTGTATCTAGATATTGATTCAACGAACAAAAGAACAATAGAAAAAATGAGAAAAATCTCCATGTAAATCAGAATAAGATCTTTGAGCTCTTCTATTACGTGACAAAGACCTCCGGATCACCTATACCTAAACCTCTTGAGAGGAAAACCAACTCTAGCTAATAAGCTTGGTCATTACCAGGTAGCAACACTAGCCCTAAGATAACCATAAAAGATTTTTAAGATAAACAATTCCAGAAGTTTAGGATAGAACTTGATTCTTTTTATTTACATTTTCTTCTCTCTTGTTCGCTATTTTACCAGTAAACAGATTGATTGTAAGTTTCTAGACAACTCTATATATAGCTCATCCCTGTGTAACCTTGCATATTAAGAAGTAAAATCACTGTTTCATCTCCTAAACTGCAAGGGTGAACCATTAAAAAATGCAACAGTTTTTCAATGCAAACAAAATCATTCCTTCATACGCCACCACAACAAAGGACGTCACTGTTGACCGAACATTTTTGGCAAATATTACAGTACACACATAACTTTTCAGCCACAACAAAATTATTAGAAAGAAGAACTCCGTTGTCAAGGGAACAAGGAACCACAATGATAATTCAATGCAAAATTATCAATAATTCAGTGTCAACAACAACCTGGCAACAGTGTCGTACGAAGAATTAGAAGTGAAGCTAATACACTAAAAAATATTAATTCAACGAGTCTACCAATAAAACACCCAGATAAATGAAGCAGTTAACTTAAAAGAAGGAACACGAGAAAATAAAAAAAAAACCCAACTTAACACAAAATTATGAAAAAAAAAAAAAAGAGTGATAACCTTCTGAATTCTTGTGGAAAGTTAGTGGAATGAGATCCGGCAGCTTGAGAGGAGTTCCAGTGACTGGATGTTTACCGTATTTTATAATATAGGGAGTAATATTCCTGGAGAAAAAATTATCAAAATGAATCTATCAATTAAACAATCGGTAACAACATGGGAAGCTTAAGGGATCGCAGAAATACTCACATGATATCGAAAACACTGCCCTCAGCAGTGCAGACAGGTTCTTCAAAGGGTGTAAACGTAAGCCTAAGACAAGGAGAAGAAAAAAATGAAAGAATGAATGATTAAAAAATGGAGCGAAAAGAAGGTAAAAGTGAGAGAGGTTATGAGGATTGGTACGCGCAGCAATAGAAGGGAAGACGTTTGAAGGGAGTGCGACTGTCTTTGGATTTAGCGCCTCCCCATTCCGTTGCCCACTCTGTTTTGGTGATGAACATCCTGTCTTTACTGTGTTGCTTCTTCCCCATAGTTGCTGCTAGGGTTCTTCTCAATCACCGATAAATTACCCTGTTTGTAGTCGCAATTGCAATTGCAATTGCAAATGAACGCGCCTATTTGTAAGATTCTGCTTCACTTTCTGGCGATTTTCAGAAACTGACCCCGCCGCTCGATTTTTCTCCCCTCTCACAACCGCCTTGGCAGTACTACGCTATTTGCCAAACACCGCCGTTAAATCGTTCTTGGACCGGGTTTACTCTTGGGTTGGTTAGTTCTTTTTTCACATTTCGTAAATGAAACGGATCCCGCTATTTTATAAATAAAATTCATTATCAAAGTTGTTTATTTAGAAAACTCGTGCTAGAATTTCTTGTTTCTGCGAGTATCTTTCTTTGTAAAGATAGAGTGATTTTCTTTTCCCTCTTATTAATTCGCATTTTATACTATTGTTATTCTAATTTTTTCACTTAACTTTCGAACGCGACATTGATTTTTAAAACCTTAAACGTTCTTATAAACTTAAATGAATGTTATGACTATATTATTTTCTTTAAATTTAAATCACGTTTTACTGCAATTGTTTTTAATTTAGAATAGAAGTGTGTTATTTTATTCAAATTTAAATTAGCGTTTGCCTATCCTTTTTTAACATTATAAAATAAGATGTTTTTTCCAAATATATAATTTTATTATTCATAATATTTACATAATGCTTTAATATGTTACATTAAAAAACTTTTTAAAATATTTAAAATTATAATTTAAGAATAAATTACAATTGATACATTACACGTGATATTGTCAATTTTAAATATTTGACACATAAACATAAAAAATTAAAATTTTATGAAAGATTAATAGAAAAAGTTGACACATAACATATGTTTAAGAACATAAAGTACTAACGAAAATTATGTAACTGAATTAGTTTTAAAATAATTTAAACTTAATTAAATGAAAAACATAAAAGCCAATTTAAAAAATTTAACTAAAATTTGAACAAAAGAATAATTAAGCCAAAAAATAAATAAAATGAAGTAAACACTTACTCAAGAAAAATTTTGATTAAGTTAAATTATCTCAAATTATCTTTTTGACTTTTACATTCTGCTTGAAGAAATAATAAGAATTTGTCAAAATTCAAATATTTTATAATTTAAAAAGATGAAATATTTAAATAAAAGAAAAATAAATTAATATTGCATTATGTATAATTTCTATAACTTTTAAATAATAAAATATTTATTCTTTATTCAATTCAAAACTTGTATTGTATAATTATAAAATAATCCTTCCTCTTTTGAATTTGAATAAATTATTGTTTGACTTGACATTCATTTGATACGTTATAATGAGCATAATTTATACAATCAAATATTTGTATATAAAAACATATATTTCGTGCATTTGCAATTATTAAAATGCTAATTATTTATTACAGATGTTTCGTGTTCCCATCCTTATATTATAAATTAACATAGACTATAAGAGAATGATACTTTAATTCTTTAAATTTTCTCGGTTAAATATTTTTAATATTTTTTCTTATATATATATATATATATATATATATATATATATATATATATATATATATATATATATATATATATATATATATATATATATATATATATATATATGCATGTGTTATATTTCACTCGCAAATACAACTAATGGTCGAAAATATTTCGCTAAATATGTTCATTCTGATTATATTTTTTGGGTCTGCCTAGTCAGATTTTGTAGTTTAAGACAAGACTGGTTCGAAGAATGAAAACATTAGCATGGGGAAGCGAACAAATCCTCACAGGGCTACAGTACACACTCAATGACAAATATGCTAAAGGTTAATACATACATTTCCTCATAGATCTACCTCAACTACTTCCACCTACATAATCAGAAGCAAACGATGATTTCCTTGCTGCTGGAATGAGCAGATTTTTGTGCCTCAGACTGTGTTACATACATTAATACCTACGACAAGAAACAGGGAAGAAGACAAACCCCATTCAGGTTATGTCAAGCTCGGAGGTATCCATTTTTATCCAAGTACGATATTACTATTTTTGTCATATCACTCAGAGACGTACATTCACTTCCTTTTTGTTGTAATACTATCTGCAAGAAAACGAGAAAGTGTAGTCAATTTGATGAAAGTTCTGCTTAAGTTTCAGAGGGAAAGCAGGGACAAATTTATTCTGACATCTCATTAATGTCAATTTTCCATCAAAGTTGGATAAAGTTTTATAACTAAGTAAATTTAGCATGCTAAATTTATTCGTATTGTTCTTATTTCACAACACCAACCACTGTGCTAATGTAACGCTAGTGCAACACAAGTTAAGCAATAAATACCCACCTCACAGCTGTAAGGTGGTTCATACGGATCGTCTATCCCCGTGAAACCTGAAAATTTTCGGAAATAATAACTCAAGACTAATACAATTTGATCAGGAACAAAAATAGAAATAAGGCCAATCATAGCAGATAACCTGGTTAAGCTGGTATAGTTAAATAACAAACACCAGTACAAACATGACTATTACACATAACCAATAGTCCAAGAAGATACCTATTAAAATATTAAACCAAGATACCTTTGATCTTTCCAGCTCGAGCAAGCTTGTAAAGTCCCTTCGGATCCCTTGCTTCACACACCTCTAGTGGCACGTCTATGAAAACCTGCAACATGTGTAATGAGAATTGTAAACTTTGCAAAGGAAATAATGAACCTACTGTCTTGTTTGATGATCACAGATTCACAGTGTTCATCATTGTTAGCACTTAGCAAATGTGAAACAAGTAGCATAACTCTCCGCAATAAGTACCTCGATAAAATTTCCCTCTGGCAATAAAGCTCGACAAGCATCCCTATCCTTTCGGTAGGGTGATATTAAACTAGCGATACAAATAAGACCTGCATCTGCCAAGAGTTTCGCAACCTCACCTGAAATTTATTTGTCATTTTGTTTTAATACTAATAAATAACATATTTACAGCAAAGTTCAAGATGGAGAGAAGAACTTTTGTGTGTATGTATATATGTTCTTATGCAGTAACTAACCAATCCTTCGTATGTTCTCTGAACGATCTTCTGCTCTAAAACTAAGATCACGGTTTAGACCATGTCTAATATTGTCCCCATCAAGGATATAAGTCAACTTTCCTCTGGAGTGCAAGCTTCTACTCAAAAAACATGCCAGAGTGCTTTTTCCTGAAATCAATGTCTCTTAAGAGTCAAATTAAGCAGAGAGAGTGAGAGTGCCGGTATCCAGTGTCTAGAATTGAAGAATGAAAGGTAAGGGAATATCCTTATAATGTAAAGAAACTAAAGACAATTGCTTTCATTTTCTTGGTTCACTATCAGTGTATATTCTACAGCAGAGAGACAATTATAATTGGAAAGTAACGTTAAACTTTGATTCATAAAAGACCTTACTGTTATTTAAAGCATTCATATGCGAAGAAATAATTAGAATTGACAGGCTTCTCTTCATTATTTCATTCTTATGAGTCCAAGTGATCAACTGTACTTTAATAGAAGTTCAGATTGTACCATAGGAAGTGGCAGAGAATGTTACGTATGTAAAAATAAATGTTTAATGTTTCTGCCTTTGCATGTCTATGGAAATAATGAACGTCGTATAAAAAATAAAATCAAATACGAGCAATCAGAACACATTGGAATCTAGGATGCATTTAAGAATGATAAAAGGAGGATAGGACTCGATTACTCACAATTGTGTGCTTACTTCAGCTTAACAACAATAAACTAAAGCGAGGATTCAGAAACGATCACAAACCTGAACCACTGAGACCCGTTAACCAAATGACGCAGCCCTTTTGCTGAAGAAGATGCTCTCTATCAAGTTTCTGAATAGGACATTCGTGCCACAAAATGTTCATCGAATTCCCAATACCTGACTTCTCGCCGAGATTTTTACCTAGATAGATAATAAACAGGTTAAATATTTCAATTATTATTTTTTAATCGTAACCATTTATTGCTTTGCTTAGAACTAGTAGTAGATATTAAAAAGTTCAGTTTTTTTCTTACAAAAATGTTGTCAAAGCCTGGTAAACAGCATTTATAAAGCCCAAACAGCTATTTGGTGAAGTCCATGAGATTTCCGGTTTCAAAAATGAGCAGTGCACAGAAACACTCTTTTTTTCTCTCAACGAAATTATGTTTACTTGGACAACGACCTTCGTAACCTTAATTTTTTCCCTGATCTATTCACATGTTTCACCAAGGATCAGATCTCCCTGACAAATCAATCACTCTAAATTTTTTGTTCTCCATCTTCCAAGAACCACTTACTCTCTTTATGTTTTACAACTAAAAAATATTGGTGAACTTGTGCCCAGATTTTAAATTGGCCGTTTAGCCCAAGAGAGACTTACACACAACACCAATATCGTGAAAATATTCTCTTACATTACAAACCAGATCATCTTCTATCCAAACTTTATCACACCTGATCATTTAATTCGTGCCATGTTAGCCTTTAAAGCATTATCGAGTGGATGGATAAATTTTTACTGAAGACTTTTATGTGTTAGAGAAAGGACAACATATCAATGAATAGTATATAACGTTCAACAAATGATGATATGGCCATTTTGCACAGTGACGACAGTTCATCATTAATTTACAATATAGCAAGTTCAAGAACATCAATTTGTCAATTTTTATTGAATATAAAACTATCAACATTTACATTCCAAGATCAATCCACTGTCATCTATGAATAATGATTAAAAACGTAATCTCATATTACATTGACAAACAACAGAAAATAACAAGAATAATGTAATAAACAAATAGAGCATTAAAAAAACCAGATTCAAGATCTTGATAGAATCTGAAAATATAGATAGTACCGAATAATGCAGCAGAGTGATTGGCCAAAGGTGTCAGGCCATTCTTCTTCTTCACTTGATGTCCGTCCTCGATCCGAGACGCACCATTATCTTCCTTTGCCAGAATAGGCTTCAACAAACTTTTACGATGACGGCTTAATCCAATGGCTTCGATTCCAGACAATATTGTGAACCCTAACTTCTCCGTCGCCGAATGTCCGCATTTGACGATCTGCAACATTCCGCAACTACACGGCGGGTACAGTGCTTGTACAACGCTCATCTCCACCAACAGAAAAAAAAATTAAAATGAAGATTGCGTTAAAGCTAGAGCCGAAAACATAGAATACACTACAAGTGATGAAATCAAATAACATATACACAAGTTTCCTGGCTCTTATAGATCTTTAAGAAACTGGAAGTACCTTGCGAAGGTAGATTTCCCTGTGAAATGTGATGTATGCAGTTGGTAGAAGAAATTTGCTGGAGCAGTGAAATTTATATAGCCTACAAAATTTATGCCAGTGAGTGTCGTGGTTTCAGACAACTGAAGCAGAAGCTAAAGCGAAGACACATCATGTGGTGGTGGCGGGAGCGAACTACGTATGGTGCATTGGATATTCAAAAGTAATGTGTGCTGCCACGTCAGTAGTCACAACCCAAGCATTTGTCGTTGGTCTTAATAATGATGTTCAACTTTTGTGTCCAATTGTTGCCTAAACACATTAAAAATCCCACTCTAGGTATTGTATTTTTAAAAAAAAAAAATTATTTCATTGTTATTTTTAAAGTTTTTTAAGACAGTATTGATTATTACTTTTTATTTATATCATTGTAATTGATATTTAATTAATTTATATGTATTTATTGGGTGCAGAAATAAAAATATATATACATATTTTATTGAAATTATAAAATATATATGTATTTCTTTGTTTTTTCTCAAAAGAACTTTCGTAACCTGTATGGTAACTACTTTGCTCTCAATTATTGTTTTTTCTTTAATACTACTACCAATTAGAGAGTTGTGATTGTGATAAACTGAGAATATTATGATTTGTCATTACTCGTTTGGTATGGATTCTGATGTGGCCAAGCCAATGGTATATCCTTTTATCTTTAGGAAATAATGATTGATATCAAACTTAGCACCAGTGATTGTGTTAAATCAATAGTTATGATTTAAGTGGAGACAGTGTGCACTGCTAATGTGGGTCACTGCTTCGGTGCTTCATCTTATTCCTTGTCAGCGCAACCTCCATTGATTTTTTTAAAGAAATTTTTGGAATTTAAGGGTAGTGGACTTTTTTCTGTTATTAAATAATAGTTGCATTATCATTAGATTAATATCTTTTCCAAATAATTTGAAGAAAAATTAAATGTTTAATTTACAATAAATGTTTTTCATTTTTTTTAAGTTTACAATATACGTTGAAAATCCTACAATGGTTAGAAAAAAAGTCATGCAACTAGTTATAAACGTCTTTAAAACAATTTTATAATATAGAATTATGTTTAAAATCTGTTTTTATTTTAATATGATTGGTAACGATAAAAGACTTTGACTACTAATCATCATAACAGATTAAAAAAAATGAAATCAATAGTAAAAAGAATGTATATTTACGAAGCAACAAAATATATATATAACAGAATATCCACTGGTCATATGTAACATTATACTGAGTCATGATTACTGATTTACCTCCACATTCATAAGTAAATTAATTTCTCAAATGAGAAGTAATAACACTATAACTAATTTTCTAACTCCTTTTAGTTTGTTGTTGATTTCGACATCCGAATACATTCATGAAACTACTTATGAATTTGTAGCGAAAAGACTTTCTCTTGTTTGATGAGGTTTTGCCTGTAGGGAACATCTCCACCTCGTTAGGTTTCTTCGTTATAATATTATCAAGAAAAAAACTTGATGACGAAATGGACCCTCTTCCTCCCCTTCGTATTTTACTATCCTCTGGTGGTTCAAAATGAAAACTCATTGAACGTTCTTGGTTCAACACATTATTGTTCTTATTCCTATTCATGAATTGATGATGATGTTGAATATGGTTCTTCATATCCCTTAATTCTTTCTCAAGGCTTTGAATACGATAGTAGGTGGAATCCATTGCATCTTCTATATGTGTTGTGTGACAATGAGTAATGTCTGGTTGGAGAATTTCCATCAGTGACCTTTGTTCTGTTTCATGCATAGTAGTGGTGACTGTCGCAACAAGGGAGCGACGAGTTTTGAATATGCTCCATGAGTATCGCTCTCATTATGAATTTGAGTGACATTCGAGAATTTTGAATACATTCAACCAGAATGTGATGTGAGAGCTTAGAACAATCCAGTTATTACATATCTCTGTATGTTCTTCGTCCGTTTAGTTTTTTCATACTTGATCTCCTTCACCAATGTTGAAACATTATTATCAAACAAATACACCAATGTTTCTTTCTAGCAAGAGTACTATCTCAACATTCAAAATGTTATAACCGATTGTAATAACACTCAATGAAAAAAATAGAAAAAAAAACATTACAAAATAATATATAATTAATAACAATGTATATCATAAAATGTATCGAGATTTTAACTGTAAAATGTTAAAATATTTTTTTTTCTCAATATTGTGGATATCTTATTTCTTTCAATATTGTGATATCATATTTTCTAATACTTATATTAAAGGCAAAGTGAAGTTACTACATGAAAACATTAATGTTGTTTTTCTCCTCTTGAGACAATACTATTTGTCTATCTTTGAACAAAATTTATGAACAAAAATTTTTTCATATTTTTGTTGGATGAAATAAAATAGAAAACATTCTATAGTTAGAAAAAAAAAACTTTATCCGTTTCATAGGAACTAAAATTAATTATTTGAAAATTTTTCAACTAAAATGTTAACAAAAAGAACAAGGTTATAAATATTAAAATCAAAATATAATAATTATATAGAGATTACAAAATATTTATTTTAAGATATAATCATTATCACATGAGTATATAAAGATGATTTCCTTTTTTATGTTTACATTTATTTTTCAATTTTATTCTTTAATTAAAAATTTATTTTAAATACAATAATAATTTTATCAATTTTACTTTTTAATTAATTATTTATTCAATCTTAATCATTTTTTTTAATTAACAATTTTTAATTTAAGTATTTTTTAAATTATAAAATAAAGAAAAATTATTTACAATAAAATTGAAAAGATGTTTATATTAATTTCACAATTATAATTATTTAATATATTTTATTCTTTTTTAATCACCATAAGTATATTTTCACTGGTATTAGTAAAAGATATTTAATATTTAGGAAAAATAAGGATAAAAATCATTGTCCTTGCTGACTAACATTATATGGTTAGGACGATTACTTTGATAAATAATAAATAGACATCTATTCAATAATTAATAAAGTGTTCTCTAAAATTATATAATCAGTCATATCAACATTTTAATAATAAAAATTATATCTAAGTTTTTGACAGAGTATTTATTTAGTTAAAGTAATTTACAAATAATAGAATTTTGATGATTATTTTTAGTGATGAACACTAAATTCATATTTTAATTTAGTGATGTTAATTCTTTTATTAATTTGCATTAAATAAGGAATTAATTGTACAATATTAAATAAAAATTAATGCAAAAAAGTCACCCAAAATTTAGTATCTCATATTTTTCATTTTTAAAAAATTAGCCTATCAGTAAATGTTATTCATCCTGAATTAATTTTACTAATAAATTATATATTAAAACATGTACACAGTCAAAGTTATATTCATCTAAAAAAATCAGAAGTCACAGTTCTCAGAAATATTAAAAGGGGTCCATCTATTGCATGATATAATGACACGTGGCGTACCTTAAGATAGTGATCAATAATCTTGTATAAGCATCGTGGTTGGGCAGCCGTTTGTTCAAGTAAGACGCCACCATTCGAAAATCTTGAGCGTGCATCTCAACGACGTTGTCCAAAAACGAAACGTCGCCGTTCCAAATCATAGCTTCAATGCACCTGCTGACAAGCGACGCTGTCGTTTCGGATTCGGGAAGCATAGTCACGCACGAACGAATAACCATCGATGCATCAACGCCAACAACTCTCTCAAAGTACGATTCTGTCACCTCCCATAGATTATCTCCTTCCGTCATACCCAGCAACTCCGCCGCCACTCTCATCGCAGCAATGTTGCTCGGCGTTAAGTGGACTTTATGGGTGTAACAGAAACCAGCCACCGTGGCGAAAGTCTCGGCCGTTATGTTTAACGGCGGGGAGATTGTTACATTAGAAACTCCCATCAGGTGCTGTTTCAGGTATGAACTTTGTGATATCATACGATCCTAAAGTCAGAAAGAAGAGGACAACCAAATTTTCAGGGTTTTTTTTTAAGGAATATACCAGAATATAAGTATGAAACATTGATCACGACATGTCATTTCAATATTTCATGGATTCGGTATACAACTAAACAAAGTGTTGCACGTATTTTCATGTGATAAAGGATGTCCCTTTTGTTATGTCTAAAAGCAGAGCTTTTCAGATGTAGCCAAGCCTTACTGAAAGCGAATACTTTAGCAAAATTATTAAGGCCATACAACTCTTAATCATGTAAAATCCTATTAATCGAAATTCACACAAATCCCAAATTTGAAAACTAGTAAAGTCCAGTTTAATCATCTAAAGTTTAAGCCATAGAATTTTGCAAACAATTTTGACGAAGAAACAGCAGAAAATACCTGGTGCAAACGAAAGCAGGTTCCTTGAACAATTATCAAGACGTTGGGTTCAGAGGAGGAATGGAGAGACCTGAAAGCATAGATTAATTAATTTAGAAGAAGAAAAGGAAGTATGAGAAAAGTGTAACAGAGATGGGAAAGAAATGGTAAGAACCAAGCATTGACGATGGAGTGGAGTGAAGGAGGAGAAGAGGAGATGGACGGTGGAGAAGAAGAGAAGGAGTGTTCTTCCTCGTAGATGGTCTCAATGGCGTGCTTCAAAGCCCTCATCTCTCTGGTTTTTTGTTTGAATGAAACCACACACCGTTTTCAACATTGTCTTAATAATGCTGCACTGTTATTTCCATGGAGTTTATGGCAAATCATAAATACGGCATGGGACGTTATCAATGCCACGATTCAATTGCTTTTCTTTGTTTTCGACCTTGTTTTCATATTCTCAAATTTTGTGTTTCCATTTAATTTTTTCATAAATTTAAATATTTTGCATGAAGAGATTTCTTTAATTTTTTTTTGTATTTTAAATTAAAATTTTCAATATTTAATTTTATTGTAAATTAAATAATATAACTATATTTTACTTTTTTATTTTTATAGATTTTTTTCAAATGAAAATAAAAACACTATTAATGTAGAATATATATTTTATATTTTTATTATATTAAATAATTAATATCAAGATATTTTAATTATTTTTTTTATATTATTGGAGATAAAAATATTTCAGTTTGTATTTCAGATAAAATATCATTATATAGTGAGAAAATATAAAATTATGGAACTTCAATCATGTTTTATTAAACGTGGTTGTTCTATTTTTCTAATAATTGATTTTTTTTGCTTTGGTGTTTATTTTATAAAATGAAACGGTGTATTTTTTAATAGAAATAATTAAAATTAAAAAAATTATACATGTCTCATTTTAAATTATTTTCCTTTTTTTAATTGATTACTCATTATTTTAATCAAAGTATTCCATTTTTGTTAAACATTAAGTTATTTTTAGAAATATATATTTAGTGTTATTCTTACTTATATATCCAATTTTTGTTAAAATTTAATTTTAAATATGTTTTTAATTATACAGGCAATATTACAATTAAAAAACGAATGAATATGGATAATACTTTCCTCCTCCACTTGGATAGAACATAGGAAAAGTTTTCCTTCACTTCTTCCTTTTCAGTTGAGAATTATGGTTTGCTTGTTCTTCTCGGTGATAATATTTTTCTTCTGTTGTTTATTTTAATTCTAATTTTATCTTTCACATTTTTTTTTCTTTTTCATCTTTCCATAACCTTGTGGAAACTTTAATTGTAAGAATAAATATAATTATTTTTTATGATTCAATTGTAAATATTATTTATTTATTTTATATATAATATTTTATTATAAATAATTATTTTAGTTTAAAATGATTAAGTTAAAAAAATAATGATTACTTAAAAGATAAAATTAGTAAACTATTACTTAATAAAAAAAAGATTTAGAAAAAAAATGTGTACTAAAATAAAAATATAATTAATAAAAAAATATTAAATTAATTAAATATTTCGACTTAAATCCAAAACACGTTTAAATTAACCTAATACTCAAACATTTAGGTTTGTGGATCCATATAACAACAGCTGCATACCTTTTTTTTTATTGTTGCACTAAATTATGATATGAGAAATTAAGAGTTAAAATGCAAATAAAATTAGAAAAAACAATGTCCGAGACAGAGCGTGACAATAAAAAAAATATTACGATTAAGAAAATGTGTCTACTTGAATTATAATTGAAAAATTGAAAAATAACATTTCAAAATATGAAAACATAAAAAATAAAAAATAAAAAAACAAATGAAAAAAATACAAAAAATACAATGTTAACATTATCGTGCCATACGGTGGATAACCTGTGGTTATCTTCAAAGATTATTTATGATTTTGCCATTCCAAGCTTTTAACTTCCCAGAGTTAACAATTTATGAAACGTAAGGGTAAAGTTGCTTTTATTATAATTTAATAAAGCTTTATTCAATAAAATTGGTATTTTTTTATAACGGTTATACAACGTTAAATTCATTGTAAAATAAAATACAAATTATTAAATAAAATTAATTGCGTTAATAGTGTCTAAGATGTTAAATTCATCAATAATAAATATATCATATAATCCTTAAATGTTTATACAGTAAAACTATTTAACTATTTTTCTTAAAAATATCAGTTAATTGTTTTCTTCCACAATATCAAATGTTAAAAAACTCACAATATATAAAGGAGAGATGAGCTGATACTAGTTTTAAGTATTACACCACTTGATAATTTTTAATTACAAAATTATTCTTGAAATTCACCGTTATAGATCATATATAAAAATTTGTTTGAGTTCGAAATAGTTTTATGTCTCATTTATATTAAACAATATCGACTTATTGCTTATTTTTTAAATATAAATAATTGGATCATAGTTTTATTATTATGTATATTTTTATAAATTTAGTATACACCATCAAAATAATATACCGTTACAGTTCAACTATTTTTAATCTCGTCAATCTATACAAGTTTAGACAATAATAACGAAAATAATTAAAACGATGTACATTAAAACTAGATGATATTGTTTAAAAACTAAGCCTTTTGATAAGATAAATTTATATAATATCACTTAATTATATAGTTTTTTCAAATTTTGAATAATATTTAAAAGTAAAGAAACTTATACTTATTTGTAACTTACCATGTTATCACATGATTTGTGCTAAATTTTTTCACCTATCATAACTTCTGTTTTAATTATTAATTTTCACTTTCAAGTTTATAAATATTTAAAATATAATAATTAATTTATTTAATTTTCAAAATAATTTTTTTAGCAATAATATTCTGAAATAAAATACTTTTTAAACAGCAGTTCTGATCGTTTATAATTTTCTCCAAGATTTTTTCTCTTCCATATGAACGTATGTCAGCAAAATGGATCAGCAGGCCCAATAAAATTGGGCTAGCTTGGACCTAAGTGGGTCTGATCCATCAGAAAAAAATGAAAATAAAATTTAATAATTAAAGAAGGGAAGAAGAGTAAACCCTAAATCTCATATTTTTTTTTTCATACACTCTCCCTTTCATTTGCCATTCGCATTGCCGTCACAGAAGGAGAGAAGAAAATGAAGTTCAATCCTAGGGTTTCCTCTAGCCGGCGCAAGAGCCGCAAGGCCCATTTCACGGCGCCATCAAGCGTCCGCCGTGTGCTGATGAGCGCGCCGCTCTCAACGGATCTACGGTCGAAATACAACGTGCGTTCCATTCCTGTTCGGAAGGATGACGAGGTGCAAGGAGTTAGGGGAACCTACAAGGGTCGCGAGGGGCAAGGTGGTGCAGGTCTATCGCCGCAAGTGGGTTATCCACATTGAGCGAATCACTCGCGAGAAGGTGAACGGCTCCACCGTCAATGTCGGCATTCACCCTTCGAAAGTGTGGTCACGAAGTTGCGAATGGACAAGGACCGTAAATCCTTGCTCGATCGCAAGGCTAAGGGTCGCGCCGCCGCCGACAAGGAAAAGGGTACAAAGTTTGCTCTGAGGATATCATGCAGACTGTTGATTAGTTTTCGATTTTTTGTTTTCGATAGATGCTGGTTGTTATTTATTGTTCTTATTGGAACTCGGTTTCAATCATTTAGTGTCGTATTTATCTGACGGTTTTGGTACTTGAGGGTCTTGCGTTTGGATCTAAAGGGTTTGGGTGTCTCAGACCCTTCTGTTTTGTTATTTTAATCAAATGTTTGACATTATTACTGCTAGTATTTATTGTGTTTATAACTTCAGCTTTTGTGATCTTCACGCTGTCGCTCGATCTTTATGGACTTAATAGGTTCTAGGGGCTGGGTACTTTATTAAAATATGGCTGGATGTTGTTGGGAGTGTGATTGCATTAACTCTAATAAAGTGTATTAGCCTTCAATCATTTTTTCTAAAAATCATGCAAAGGTGCATTTAAGGTTATAATCACTCGAGCATGTTATGACAATGTCATTTGCTTACTTTGGGTACTCACTATACTCTTTGATCTTCCATGTTGGTTGTATGGAAATATTGTTTGTTTTCTGGAATCTGGCAGAATTTGTCTACAACAGAGGAAGACAGGGATTATGTTACATTTTATTGGTCGCAGGTTCTGGTCTAATCTCTTCACAGGAGATAAAAGTCAGTTTGAAAGTGTTGAGTGAGGATGTCTTCTCCGTCATTATTGGGAAGTAATTGTTTTTTTATAACATATCTTTACTTTACCTGAAAAAATATAAAGGGAATACGGAAAGCCTTAACCAAACTTAAAAGATGAAATTGGGAAATGCTCTGCCGAATGCAAATATGGTGGGTAGGTATAAATTTTTAGGTCAATTTCAGTTTTGATGACCCCATAATGGAAGCTTGCAAACAGACTATTGTTTCTCGATACCTATTTTACCTCAATTTTCTTTCATTGCATTTTCTCCAAGTTTTTATAATAATTTTTTATAAAGTAGAATGTAAATTGTAGTCAGAAGTTGCTCGTGTCTCCGGTTTAGGCGGATATGTAAATGTTGTGTTTAACGGGATGTTTCAAATGAGGTCTCTTTTTAAAATGAGACATCAGAACACATCACTAGTAATCTTTTGACCATCATTGTGGTAAAATGAAACTATTCAGATTAAATTCACGATATTCTTATTTTCCTTTGTAGTTCACAGAAAGATATATTCTAAACTGCAATCCCATGTCTGGTGGTATCATGTGCAAAATGTTCTCCTGTGAACTTTGTTCTCAACTCTTCTACTTCCTATTCAAATTAAAGCTCATGTGTAGATGGTATTGGTTTTTTAGGCCTTCACTGTACATCTGCATTCGTAAATTCCTAACATTTGAGTATGGTTTAGAAATTCTGGTTAAGGAAGTTGTAAGTTCGTTCTTCAATGTATTTGATCCAAATTCACAAAATTTTAAAGGAAGATAATATGAAATTTATCATTTTCTGTTGGGCTAATTTCTAAACCTCATTAACCATAGTGTTCATGTAGTGTAAATGATATATGCATTACAATTTTTCAAGCGACTGGTAAACTGTTCATGTATGAGAGGAAGAAGATAAAAGGAAACATAAACGGAAAAGGAAAGGAAGAAAGCAGGTGACTGATTTGAAAATAATTTTATCTCCTTATTCTATTTTAACTAGCGAAAAAATATGTTATGTTCACTTTTTTATGTGTTAGTAATTAAATGATTATTAAAGAAAATAAGATTATAAGATATTATTTTAGTTTAAAAATAATTACATTTAAATTTTAAATTAATTATTTAAAGATAAAAATTGGAAAAAA